ATTGGACTAGGTGTAATTCCATAAGAGATTAAAACCTGTTGCAGAGTTTCTTCTCTTATCTTTAAGAGAACTCGCTTAAGAATATCAACAAATTTTTCTGCTTGCTCATTTGACTGAGGGTGATACGGTGGGGTTCTCATATATATATTCCATTTTGTTTGCAGAGCTCCACACTCTGACGACGTATATTGCGTTCCGTTATCTGAAACCAAAGCATTAGGTGTTCCAAACCTACCAAATAGTTGTCTGAGATGTAAGTGTTTCAGATGTAGACGGTCTTCGTACAGCATATATTTCAGGCCATTTAGAGTATGAATCTACCACCACCAAAAATATTGTCCGCTTATTAGTCCAGCATAATTGATGCGTATTCGGACCCAAGGCTTGCTCGTTTCTGCCCATGGCTGGGCTTCTACTTTCGGTGTATTCAACGGTAGAATCCACAAACCAACTTTATCTATCCAATCAATACCTAGTGTGTTGGTATGACAGTTCCCAGAAATATAACATCTTTCGATCGTAGTCTTGTTACCCAGTGTGTGAGAGGTAGCTGTATTTCTTTAAGAAGAGTAATGTTAGTTTCTGTTCCACTCTTAGCACTATAATATGTAGGTTGAAATTGAGGTTGGCCAAATTTTATCCATGTCTATAAATTTATGTTATGTCAGACCCCGTACCTACTTGCAGCCCAACCGGTTTGCTATTAAAAAAAGACAGTTGCGTACTTCCTTTTAGGTGAGAATTGAGCAATTTTTGTGGCCAGAACAACATTCCAATTACGTGCTATCTCTTTTGACTTCCGCGTCTTATTTTCTTTACGGAACTTATGCTGATGGTCGGCCATCTTTGGTCTACTTTACAACATAATTGAGGATGACCATATTTACCACGTCGAAAACACTTTAAAAATAGCGAACATTAGCAGAATGACACTCACCGCATCACCAACAAGACGTTTTGGGTTTCATTCGACTTGGGATTCGCTGGAAGTACAAATCCTTATTTCCATTAAAAGAATTTTGCAATGCGTTGACTTCCACGTATCCACTGTTCCTTTCTACGAAATTTGTATCATGCTTCAAATTCACTATTCTTTGACATTCTTCAGATACTGACTGCAGACTGATATTGGGATCTTATTCGATCCTCGCTAGAATCCATGTTCTAATGTCTGCATCTACTGCAGATTGCAATCCACAGACAAAATATAAGGCATTTAAACTGTTATGAGGACATTTCCTGTAACCGAAACCGCTCACGATGCTTGCGCACGTCACATGATCGTCATGTAAACTTTACAAGTTGGAGAAAAGTTGATGGTCGTTCACCAAATATACGTGTCAGGAATCCTACTGTTTCTCTGAAGGTTATGTCGGTTGGTTTTTTTTGGGAGAATAAAATGACCAAACTTTTCATGTTTAGAAACTCCAAGCTTCCGTAGTAATAATCTTAGTTTCGAACCTTCGTCCCACTCTTTACAATCATTAATAAACAAATCCTCTTGGCGCTTAAACCACGCTTCAAAAGTAATCCCACTTTCTATTCAAATCTAAATTCATTTATCGAATAGGCAATAGAATCCGAAGTCATAGTAGAATTAGATACCTGGTTTCTTGGGGATACTGACATATTCTTGACCAATAATTCGATAAAAGCATTTTGCTCTTGCAATAAAGATTTCAGTTCATCCATTTTACTGTTACGAAATCGCCATTGTTATAACACTTGGTTTCCCACGTCTACATGAATAGGACGTTAATTTGCCTTAGGCGAATATCTACACTAGATTCCCTCTCAGTGTCTATTCTACAGGACTTGAACACCACTCAGACCAAGAACGTGATTAGCCTAACTATAACGTAAATATATTTCCACACCAAAAACCAACAACAATCCGTCAACAATTAATAATAATAATAATAATAAGGATAGGAGAATATATAATTCATCTAACACCTGTCAGACTATCTACAAGCCTAACTAAACAAACAACCAGTCATTATCATTCTCGCCTATACATCAGGTTATCAGATCATGAGATTTTCGTTGGGTTCAGATATAAAGTGGGATCTTGTACAGCGTATTAGTGGTCTACCTCCTCAGAATAAAGCAAATGAGCCCCCAACGGGAGTCATGAATTTTAAAACGAAAGGAATTCAACAAAAAGAATGTATGGAAATATTTCTAAATATGAAAGTAAATGAATATATATGTATCTTAATCGATTTTTTATCATCCAGAGACTTCAGTCAGACGCCAGTTAAGACCTTAGTTCAAAGTTCTTTTCTCCTTAGTTTTTAGTCCGATGGTCATCTGAGAACACCTGAAGTAGTTTTCTAAACGTGAACTTTCATTTAATTACCAGTCTGGGGAACTAGTTTGAATTCGTTGATCATTCTATCTGAGCACATACATTAGGACTGTTAATCTAACGACAGACAAAATCTCGTTGCAAATTCACTCTGTAGCACAATCAAAACCATAGACTGCCTGTCAGCGAGCACCTGGCGTAACCGTATATCAAGTTCTGTGTTTAAATGTGCAAAGACATTGGTGTGGCTGGATCACAGTATTGACTTTATATCCCACTAAATCTCGTATTACTGTCATTGTCTCTCTCGATTCCCCATATTTTGGTAAATTTTTCGAGATGTCTGTCGCTGAATTATTGGTTTAGTAGTGATCCATGTTAATTTATTAGTGTTTTAAAATTATCAAGTCTGGTTTATACTGAATACTAAATATTTAGAGACTGATGTTACTTTCATTTTCAGATTATTTCAGTTAACTGTTGGTGCTTTTCAAGGACCACTTGAATGTCTCACAAACAAGGGAAATTGAGTCCTAATACTCCCCAGACAAACCCAAATGCTATTAACCGTAATGCGGGCCTTCATGCACTGGAATATGAAGAAGCTATGGAAGTCGAACAACCCTTGAGTGATACTTCAGAACACGATCCATCCTCAGATGCAAGTCAGGTGAATGATCACAAATTAACTTTAGAAATCATATGCTTCCATACTGTCACTAATTTATTCGTAACATTACAGCTTATTTAGTAGTTATACATCCACTGATTTTAAGTTTTATTTCTTTGTTTATACCGACCGTTGTTGCTACCTTAACGTGGTGGTCGGGCTTGCCCATAGTGATGAACCAATCGAGCTATACTGACTGGAACAATCGTTCCTCAAGGTCCTACAGTGTCAGACAAGTCGATTGAAGAACAGTAAGACTAAGAGCAGCAAATCCAAGATCCGAAGATGAAGTATTGCTGACTGTACAGAGGTGTGACGGCAGTAAGGTTTCCTTCCGACAACCAACGATTCTAGTGCTCAAAACACTGTCCCAGGTCTACTGAAACCTCGCTCCAAACTACACATTGGAGCCTTCAACGTACGAACCCTATGTCAAATCGGTCAGCAGGCTTCCTTGGCTAGAACCCTAGAGTCTCTTACCATTGATGTATGCTGTGTCTCCGAAACACGCATACAGGATTCCAGTGTGGTCATTCACTTGACCTCACCTCGTCAAAACGGAGAGCCAACGAGATACACCCTCCGTGTATCTGGTGACCCGATGGCCAGTTCTCGTGGACTGGCAAGTGTAGGCATAGCACTAAGCATGAGGGCGGAACAAGCACTGCTAGAGTGGATCTCCGTCAACAGTCGTTTATGTGCTGTTCGTCTAAACGGCTCCGTAAGAACTCGGAAGGATAGGGACACACGTCGTTGCCTTTTCGTCGTTTCTGCCTACGCTCCCACTGACTGTAGCTCAGATGAAGTGAAAGATGAATTTTACAGAAAGCTGTCCGAACTTCTGCAGAAAGCTAAACGCTCTAACATAGTACTCTTAGCAGGTGACTTTAATGCCCAAGTAGGTAGCTTAAACCAAACAAAAAGACATTAAGGTGGGTATTTTAGTATCTCGAATCAGCAAACAGATAATGGTGATCGTCTGCTGCAAGTGTACTCAAACGATCATTTATTTTTAACAAGCACTAACTTTAAGCATAAGGAGAGACATCATCAAACATGGCGACCTCCTGCACCAAACCATCGAACTCAAATAGACCATATTGCAATCAGTCCTCATTGGAGAGGCTCGGTAGAAAACTGCCGCCTGTTCTGGACTACCTGTCTGGACGTTCATTCTCTAACTTGATATTTAGCGGTGTACTCACAGGCCTGTACGAAATCGAGCTCAGGTTCTCCATGTTACAGTAAGTACAATACTATTGAGCTGCAGAATCAATATCAGTATTTTCCCATCTACACCGGGTGACCGTGAGTTTGATCACAAACGAAGGCTATTGCGTAATTAAATCGGGCAAAGCTTGCGTAAGGACCGAGAAGCCTGGTAGTTGTAGCGTGCTAATGAGCTGGAAGCACCAGCTGCATCTGGTAACTACCAGAAGCTCTTTCAACTCATCCGAGCTACTGGCAGCAAGTCTGGTGTGAGTGAAACAATCTGCGAGGATGAATGAATGCCAATCACTAACATCCATCGACGTCTTGGATGGTGGGCAGAGTTTTTCGAGGAGCAATTCAAGTGGTCTGATGCCCCAGCAACACCGGTCAGGCTGTCCTGCCCTCTGTGGCCGGTGACGACTGGTCCACCGAATAAGGCGGAAGTCTGCAAGGAACTCCAACTCTTGAAGCGCTACAAATCACCTGGCCCAGATGACTTACCTCCGACTCATTTTAAAGATAGTGGTGACCTTCTGGCTAAGGAACTGACTGTGTTGTTTACAAAGGTCTGGGAGCTAGAGAGTGTAACAACGTCATGGAATGAGTCGATAGTTGTCCCCATCTTTAAAAAGGGTTCACGTCGTTCCTGTAACAACTACCAGGGATAAGTTTACTTCCGATTGCGTCCAAGCTATTGACTTTCGTCATACTTCGTAGGTTGTTCAGAACCCGAGAAAGACTGACTCGCGAGGAACAGGCTGGTTTTCGTTCTGGTCGAGGATGTATTGATCATATCTTCACTCTCCGCCAAATGTTAGAACACCGTCATACTTATCAAAGGCCAACAATCGTAGTGTTTCTTGACATCAGGGCTGCCTTCGATTCGTTGGATAGGACTGTTCTCTGGGATTGTCTATTGAAGAAGGGTGTGCCTGAGAAGTTTATTAACATCCTAAAAGCCCTATATACAAACACCTCAGGCAGAGTGAGGGCATACAACCACCTTTCTCCATTGTTCCATTCGAGCAATGGGATTAGACAGGGTTACCCGATCTCACTATTCCTCTTCAATTTCGCCATCGATGACGTTCTGGAAACAGCTCTGACGAAAGTAATTAATGGCAGTGTGGATCTGTTGCCTGGAGAAAGACTTCTCAACCTTGAGTATGCGGATGATATTGTCTTATTGTGCGGTAATGCCCAAGGCATGCAGTCCGCACTTAATCAGTTGGCAATCAATGTCCGTAGGTATGGTATGTGCTTTGCACCTTCGAAGTGCAAAGTACTTCTACAAGACTGGCAGGATTCAAATCCTGTACTCACCCTAGATGGTGAGCAGATAGAAGTAGTCGAGAAGTTTGTGTATCTAGGCTGCTGCATAAGTGCTGGTGGGGGGTGTGAGTGATGAGATCAATGCACGTATAGTGAAAGCCAGAGCGGCTTATGCCAATCTGGGACATCTTTGGCGCATTCGTGATGTTAGTCTGGCTGTAAAAGTTCGGATCTACAACGCGTCGGAAAGAGCGGTTCTGCTATGTGCTCGTGAAACCCGGTCTCTCCGAGTTGAGGATGTTAGACGACTCTGTTTGATCATCGTTGTCTCTGAAGGATTACTGACATCCAGTGGCAACACCATGTTAGTAATGTAGAGGTTCGGCATCGTGTGTTTGGGCGCAGAGACGATAATTCAATTGGTGTCACCATCGTGAAACACCGACTTCGGTGGCTTGGACATGTTCTCCGAATGTCGTCCCAGAGAATTCCACGTCGTGCATTATTTGCCGACTCTGGGACTAGTTGGAAAAAGCGGAGAGTTGGTCAGTGTATGACATGGAGTCGTGGTATGAAAGAATTCTGCAAAGGACTGGCTTCTGTTGGCCCTTCACGACTCCCTGGCTGGGGTCCGAGAGATGGTGCTACACAGTGGCTAGAGACGTTATCAGATATGGCTCAGAATAGAAGCCAGTGGCAATCTTGCTGTAACCTTCTTTTACTTTCTTCATAAAAAGTGGTTGTATCTTCCTGAACTGCAAGAATTCTTCTGATTGTACCTTTCCGTTTCCCCCATTATTATTATTATTATTTTTATTGTTACATTACCTTACACTAATCTGTTCGTTATAGTTCTTTTTTTTCTTTTAGGCCCCTTACCTTCCTTTTCTTCTCTTCTCATTCCCATTGTTTTGTGTGGCGCATATATATTCGGTGCCTCTTTGTACCATAATTTAGGTGTTAATGTAAATAAAATAAATAAAACTTCCCCAGGTGGACCCTCCGTGTCCATCAATCCAGTTGAAGCGCCGGACATTCGCCTTGCGTCCTCTGAATTTCGTAAACAACACTTCCCTGGAATTGGCTGTTTACGGGTGGTCATGTGAGAGTATCTCGAGAGGAAAAGGTGATTCCCCACCCTCGACCGTATCAGAGCATTTGGTACGTTATCAAACATGGCTCAAAATATATGCTACTGAGGATCCTGTTTTAGTTTTCCTATACATTCTTCTTAGAACTAAAAGTAATTTCCTTAACTGGAAGTACTTTTTTTCGGTTATGTTGTTGACTGTTCGTGTTCACTTATTATTCCTCTTAAATTGTTCTACCTTTATCTCATCACCTTTGCAATGCTTTTTATGTTTTTCGTATGTTGCATTCTATCTTTGGTGTCCAGTTGTACCATATTTTGCATATTAAGTATATATATAATACCATTAAGGTAGTTACATATTTTTCAATTTAATCATAGAAACTCCTTACAGGTTATTCCATTCTTATCTGATACCTAACTCAATGTTTTGAAGGAAACCTATTGTTCCTAACCTCCTTATAATTTTGATTCTCATATGTAGGATGAACAACACCCTTGGTTTTATAATGCTACTGTCAAAGGATGCTGCGGGACAACTTGTGAACAAACAGATGCTTCGGTTGATGCCTTTGACGAAAATGACGAAGCAAGAGCTTCAGGAGTTATCGAAGGTGTCTTCGAAAACATTTTACATCAGAAAGTATGTTTATTTCATTTTGACTGAATCTTTTGTTCATTACGTTTGTACCCTGATCCCGTGTTTGACAGATTATGTAGGTGTCATATGTTTTTTGCCTAGTACACTTTTAAAAACTCATCACTGAAAGTTACTATGTACACAAAGGACCCTAGACTACTTAAACTTTCAAGTAGTATCTGTTTAAATAATAGTTACAATTAGTACTGCTTGGTAAGTTGAAGGCGTTGAAAGATTGTTGGGGATGTTAGATCCCCAGAAACTCACTTGGTAAATGTCTCATTTTTATAATGCTATTTTAAAAATTTGAATTTCTTGTTTGCTCACTAAAAGCACCAATTTTCACCTTCATGTCATATTTCCCACTTGGGTGGAACTTAAATGTTATTGGTTTGTGGTCTCTTTTAATATGTTTTTGTAACGTTTCCCAAAGACGTTTTTATGCTGTATAAATACGCTTGAGTTGTGCTTATTGTTGTTGTTCGTGCTTCTGGCTGCTTGTGGGACAGATTTCCCTCTTCTGAGTCTGGACTTCTCTCTCTAGTTAGGGGGGCTGGGTCGCATCGGAAGAGTTAGCTTATTGGTCATTGTGTCACTGAGTCTTCGTTCCGTTCGCAGATTAGGTGAACTCGTGACTTCTTCAAACATAGCAATGATGTTGATAGAATATCCCGTTTTTATCGTATTTACGTTGGTATCGAATAGAATTCTTGGAAACCCACTGGCTAAAATGAGTTTAATGCGAACTGAAACCATAGATAAGTTTACTGTTAAAAGGTGTAAATGATCTGTGATGTCATCTTAACTTCGGTTTATAAGCCGAAATATACCTTAAGCGTTTCAAACATTCTTTCATGACCGACTACTTCAACCATCCCATACATTTTTAGGTAGTCTGTCTACATTGACTTTTTTCATGAAACGATGGACAGCTACCGATGTTTTCTAGGATAAAACCCACATTTAAGATGTCTGCATTTTCCTTGCGAAGCTACTGATTAGTCGGTGCATGATAGTTTTCAGTATAGGGTTGTGGATTGCTTAAAGTTAAGCACCAATACTGTTGGATAGGGGTATATTAGTCTTGATGTTAGTCGTTCGACCCGGGGCCGGAGGTCCTGTGTTCGATTCCTGTGTGTGATCGTAGATGCTCACTTTCAAGAGTCTCATACTATTATACTTTATCGGTACGGTGGGTATGTTTTGATAGTTAGGTTCAGCATCTATTTATCGTAATAATTGATTAACCATTACGGAATTTCCTGTGTACGAAGTTAGCTTCTCGCATTTTACTTAGAGATTGATGAAGGTTTTCTTTGTCAGATTAAAATAGTTGCAAAAAGTCTTGATAACTAGAATTATTTGTTATAAAAACGAGAACTAGAGGTGAAAATACAAAAGTGCTATTTTCTGTTAGAAGAAACTAACTAACCACTTTCTTGTTTGCCCACGCTTACTGTATCATAAAAAACGACGTACAAATTGGTCGTTTGTCAACCATTGAAGCTTGTAGATGTTTCGAAATACGGTTTCATTAGTTCAACCTTCACATATAAATATGGTTCTCCTGAATCGTTGCGAATGCATTATGCAGTATTCATTCATAATACTAAGTGCTACTGTCTGCTCTTTGGTTTGAAACAGTTATTCTAGGTATTATTTATATTTTCTTACGCCCTGATGAATAAATTTCCTTTTTTTCAAACGTTTTCAGCAAAGTGCCGCACGTGCAGACGTTCGCGTAAGTGTTTTCTATATTCAGTATGTTTTGGCTTTTCTCATTAATTTGTGATTATTTCTGAACAATATAAAAAGTCAGTTGCCCGCTACTCGTAACCTAGCACATCTTTCTATCGGTTCAGGTTGTCAAACTGCTTTATCAATGCAAGATGTAACTATCTAGATATATGCTAAATTAAAAGTAGTAATAGTATCAGCAGTAATAGGAAAAATTAGACACTGAAGGTAAAAAGAATGAGTTCACAGAACAATATGTATAAAGTAATTTTAAAACTTATGATCTATAAGGAGACAGAGTGAATGCATCTGTACCCTTTTGGTTGGTTATGATAAATGAGCGAACCCCAACCGGGTTCCATGTACCTACTAAGGGTGCCAGTAATATTTGACATTGTCTATAAGTATACAGAACACGATGTTTAATTCCCCTAGTTTATCTAGTTATCGTATCATTTTGACTTGTAAGCCTAATTTTTATTTTCACTTATACTTCTGAGAGGTCAAAGTTTTATTAGCCATTGTACAGAAATGATGATCTTTACCGATGTGCTATATTAGAATGAATAAATTTTTTCTGGTGTTTTCACAACTGAGTATGTCATACGATATTACCTAAAATGCACCCACTTACATAGTGGACCTATCGTCTGAAAGACACGATTGTATTTTTATAGCGCGCTTATATTTATATTGATAATCAATGAAGACGGGTATTAGACTACCTAATTAACAAGTTCTTCATATGAAGTTAAGAGTAATTTTCGGTCAGTGAGCGTACACTATCAAGTTGAAATGATACATGCTCGGGAATCTTAAGACTAAACAATAGTCCAATTGGAGTTTAAAGTGGTACAGATCAGTAGAAGCAAAGCATTTTCATTATGTTGAAAGGTATATCTTATAACTCGTTGTAGTATTTTCTGTGATTATTATGAAATGATGACAGTCCATGAATACTGTTTATAGTAAATGAATATCGAAGTGGAATTTCTCAGTCTTACAAAACGAAATTTTGTAAATATTTACTTCTGTCATTCTTGCGTAGGTCTTTTTTAGGAACAGCAGTAGTACCATAATGAATATCCAAAAATGAAGCATTTTTCTTGTAGTTCAAATGAATTTTAGTAACTGCAAGATGTCTGTATGTTACATCAATAATTTTAATCCCTTTTTAAAGGTGGTTCGAGGATCAGGAATGATTCGTTGTCTCCCGTGGAAAATACTTGTAATTTTTCATCCACCGGACGCTCAGTCGACAATTGGTGTTTTTGTACAGTGTAATGCAGAAAGCGAATCACTAACCTGGAGTTGTACCGCCAAAGCAACTATTCAGTTAGTTGCTCAGAGATCGAATTGCAAGAATAAAGAAATGAAAATTCAGCATACTTTCACACACAAGGAAAACGATTGGGGTTTCCAACAATTTATTAGTTATGACGAGTTGCTTAATCCAGAGAGAGGTTTCTTATCTCCAACAGATCCGAAAGATACAATTATTATCCGAGCTCATATTAAAGCTGATGCTCCTCATGGTGCTGATTGGGATTCCAAACGCCACACTGGATTTGTTGGGCTGAAAAATCAGGGCGCTACTTGCTATCTAAATTCTCTACTTCAAGCATTGTATTGCACAAATAAATTACGACGTGCAGTATTTTTAATGCCAACGGAAAGTGATGATGCCCAAACAAGTGTACCTCTGGCTCTGCAGCGAGTATTTTATGAATTGCAGTTCAGTAGTCGTGCTGTAGGCACTAAAAAGTTGACTCGCAGTTTTGGTTGGGCCACTTTAGACTCATTTATGCAACATGATGCTCAGGAATTATGTCGGGTTTTACTAGACAACTTGGAAAACAAAATGAAAGGTACTTCAGTTGAGGATGTTATACCCGGACTATTTTGTGGGAAAATGCTTTCTTATATAAATTGTATCAACGTTCCTTATTCTTCTAAGAGAGAAGAAAATTTCTATGATATCCAACTTAAGGTTAACGGAAATCGTTCCGTTTATGACGCTTTCAATGAATACATTGCTAAAGAAACCCTCTCTCAAGATAATAAGTATGATGCTGGTGCTTATGGGCTCCAAGAAGCTGAAAAAGGTGTTATATTTACACGATTTCCGCCGGTATTGTATCTGCAACTAATGCGTTTTCAGTATGACTTCGTTGCTGACACAAATATCAAACTAAATGATCGGTTTGAATTTCCACCTATTCTTAAGTTGGATCAGTTTTTGGCTGAACCAAAACCATCTACTTACAAACTTCACGCTGTACTTGTGCACTCTGGCGATAATCATGGTGGTCATTATGTTGTATATATAAATCCAGCGCTAAATGGTATATGGTATCAGTTTGACGATGATGTTGTTTCACGTTGCTCACCCCGTGATGCTATCGATATGGTAAGTTTTTTAACGTTTTATTCACCTGACATTAACTCTCATGGCGGTTTAGTTTTAGTTTGCTGTTTGTTATCATTGCTACTAGGTTAAAAAACTTGTTTGTTAAAAAAACCCATATAAATATAGATGGTATGATTCCTAATTTTAATTCAATCTTTTTCCTTTGGGAAATGCAATAGATTTTAGTTGAACATGTATTCATTTTCTGCTCATTTGATGATATTCAAGTGTTCTCTTTTCAATGCTACTACTGTTGATAGTGAGAGTAATTTAAATCATTGTCTGACTTCAAAACAGTACTTCATTCAAAGTATTCGTCTTGGCTAACTAATTCCAAAACCTTACTCTTAGTTTACTGTGGATATATGTTTCAAGTCTATGTTTAACACTGTTTGTTTGCCTTGTATCTGGACAATTATGTAAGATTCACATAAAGCTTATATGCGTGCACTCATGTTGTTGCATTCATGTAGCTTTTAAAATTTTAGTACTAGTATACTTTTTCTGGTCTCGATTTAAAGTGCTCATTAACAACCTGGATAATTTGATTTTGATGTTATATTACTCAGTAACAAAGTACATATTTTACACTTTGTGATATATAGTAATATCTGAATTAGTCTTAATCTATAACGTTGATTGCTCTAATCATCTGTGATAGCTGATTCACTCAAAGTGATCAATGTTAGTTTGGGCTATTCTTTTATCATAGTAAGTTAATGTGGTTTGTTTCAAGAGTTACACAAAATGTATTTCTGCGGCAAGGTGTAACATCTACTGCCGGTTTCCAAATCAATGGTCAGATCTAGTGTGCTGATTTTAGATATTGGTGCCAATGAAGATTACGTGTTCAAGTACTCATTTTGAAAGTAGCTTCACCCATATATAGACGCAGGCCAGTCCCGAAACAACAACTTGCATTTAGAGGGGGGAGCAGAAACACATCCCAAACATTCTGGCATTGTCGTTCAATGCTACCAAAAGACTTGGCATTTTATCAGCATCTTCACCAAACACGAATATGTCATCTGCTTATTCTAAGTCGATAAGTGGACCTCCTGGTAAGAAATCATTGCCCGAAAATTCAGTCGACGAAAGCGTTATTTACAGCAGTAGGTCTATGATGAAGTTAAACAAAAATCGAGAAACCGGACAGCTTTGACACCATTTGAGGTTGCTAAAGCAGATGACAGTTCGCCATAAGCTCTGACTCGACTAGTAGTGTTCGAATGAAGAGCCTTCACAAGGTTTATGTACTTCTGAGGTACGCCTTTTAATGACAGACACTGCCACAGAATCTCGCGGTCTACACATTCAATTGGTGCTTTTAAGTTAAGAAAGACCATTGTTGGACACCGATAAGTATACCTGTGTTCTAGAACCTGACGAATGGTGAATATGTGGTCGATGCAACTCCTTTTCCAACCTCACCCTTTGTGAGAATGTAGCATCAGTCATGATGGTTGTCGGAAGGAAACCTTACTGCCGTCACACCTCTGTACAGTCAGCAATACTTCATCTTCGGATCTTGGATTTGCTGCTCTTAGTCTTACTGTTCTTCAATCGACTTGTCTGACACTGTAGGATCTTGAGGAACGATTATTCCAGTCAGTATAACTCGATTGGTTCATCACTATGGGCAAGCCCGACCACCACGTTAAGGTAGCAACAACGGTCGAGAATGTTATTTAAGTGGAGTATTGTTCAGTTGTTCAGTGACATGGCTCAGAATCGATCACAATGGGGTAGGTGTATACACTTTTTGTCTTCCCTTAAACTATGAGTTAAAAATCGCTTCATATCTTTCTACGTACCTATTCTTTCTTGCTGTAGTATATCCTTATATGCAATCTTTCTTTTATATAATTGACTTAGCTAATTCTATGAATCCAGTGTTCATCTTGATGTACTAATGTAGTATGGCAACTTGGACTAATGCATGTATGTACCTGGTCCTACGTCGTAGCTGATTGACATTGTATAATTTTGCCAAATATATAATTGAGTTGGGATTTTTGAACTTGCCTTAAGACTAGGGTAGACTTTTTCTAGTTACCCAACAACGTGGTTTACTGCTTTTGCATCTATTAGCATAGCATTATCCTGTGATTGTGTTTTCACATTTCATGCTTCTCACTGTTTAGTTTTGGGGGGCTCAATTAACATCCTAGCTGAGTTACGTTGGCTTTATTAAAATATTTTGGTATCAAATCATGATTACATCACTGAACAGAATGCGGTAGTCTTCTCATTTATTGATAATTCTTGAAACAAATAAGTTCTAAAGATGACATTTTGTTAATTATTTCATGTTTGCATTCCTTGTGTTCATAGTGCATTGTTTTAAAGGGTACATGAACGTTTCATTTATATAGATAATTCAATTATTGATATAATTATTATCTCTCTGTTACGTTTGAACTACACGTGTTTTTATAGAATAATATATATTTTTTACACTCACACTTTTGATTTATTATAATTATACTTATTTTATTACAGAATTTCGGAGGTAGTGATGATCCTGATATGCGTCTTTGCACAAACGCTTATATGCTTGTGTATATCGCAGATTCCGCGAAAGATGATGTTTTATGCCCTGTTTCTGAGATAGATATTCCTGAGACATTACGCGAGCGATTCATGGATGAACAAAAAATGGATGAGGCTAAAAGAAAACAAAAAGAAAAGGTTCATTTGTATGTCGCTATTCAGTTAATACTTGAAGAGGACTTCTATGGTTGGCAAGTACGTCAGCTAAATTTGGTTTTATATTGCCTAATTTCAAATGTACTTCACCTTCTCAGTCTTTCATTTGTTTTTATCACTTCCTATAAATTTAATCCATAGTACTGTTTTAAATTTTAGGGTCCAGATTTGTGTAGTCAAGAGTTATTGCCCAGTCGGATGTTACGCGTTCAAAAACAAACTGTTCGTCCGAAATTACTAGAAGATGTAGCAAGTGTGTTGCATTATCAGCCTGAAGGAATACGTTTGTGGCGGTTTCAACCTCGGTAGGTCCCTTTTGTGTTACTAAACAAACTGCATTTTCAGCGAGGTAAATATTATTCCCAGTGATATCATTTTCTGAAGCTGTATAATTGTATTTATAGGTAATTTCTACATGTAGTGTTGCATACTAAAATAGAGGAGTGTTACACATTTATCGAAGTCAAAATTATAGGGTGGATCTTTACAACGGTCGACATGCGAAGAGCCAACCTAGGACGAGTAGTATACGAATTTCCAGAGTTTGATGCCACTGAGGAAGGTAAATTTAGCCCAATTCTTTGTTCTCAAGTGTCAGACAAATGTGCACTGAAAACACATTTAACAATGAGTTGAATATAATTCGGAAAATACTTTTGAAAAATGGTTTGTTGTCCAGGTTGTTTGATAGTAATATAAAACCAAAACGTCAAGTTGACAATACTAAACTTTATTCTTGTATACGATGGATTTCCATCTGATCCGTGTTTTAACAGAATATTAAAAAAGTGGATTTCCGAATTCAACTTTGATTATGTTATGAACGTAATCCAGTGATGGCAATTATTGAACTCTTGTATTAAGGTCACTATCTTCGTCACAGTTGATAAAGGTATCATTCATTTATCTCTTGCAAAATTAGAATTTATTTGCTTCTGTGGAGCAGGTTACACCAGGCGTATAAAGCGTGCACTTTTTAAATGAATATCCATCTCTACCTTGGATGGCTATCAAAAGGGATATGCAAATCAATGAATCGTTCAATTTTAAAACACTAGGTCAATGCTGGTCACATCCCATCACTAAAATCGTCGTTCAAAAATCATCTACCTGGTGAAGAAGAGAACTGGCTCATAATAGGTTTCAATGAGAAATTTGTGCCCATTTAAGACTATAGCAATTGACCACTTCAAACTTGACCTCTCTATTTAAACGGGTCATGTTCAATCCCTTATTATTCCGTATTCTTAGCACCCCTCTAAGTTTTACAAATCGTAAGTGCTATTATTATGATCTTCCTTTTATCATTTACAATGTAGATAGTTATCTTCTGTTTCTATTCTACAAATTACTACTTATTACTTCCAAAACTTTTACAAATATTAGTTCTTGATAATTTTGATTACTTTTGTTTTGTTCGAGGAAGATTAAATTGTGTCACTTCTGCGAACTATTTGTTGACTGTTATATATATATTCCTATTATATAACTATTAAGTAACTATCTATCTATCTATATTTTTTTCATTTGACCTACTGGCTAATATACGATTTTGTATTCCTAAGCTATTCCCCATTTATTAGTTACAGTACCACACACAACCACTTTTTGCCTAATATTGTATAGTTGTTATTTGCTATTATGTGGTGTGATGAGGTCTGGTTTGCTTGTGTATAAACCAAGTATGTCTGAAATATATGATTCATACAATGGAAATTGAAATTGTGTTCTGGACTCTAACGGACAAGGCTACGCGAGAAAAACTTATAAGGACTCTGAGTTGATTCTAGACTACTCGTACTGGTTAACACGCCATTGGTTTGGCACACTGTCAACGTTATATAAATCTGTGTTTCTAACTGGCGATTTAGTCATGTGATATTTGACAGGGCTCAGGACGTAACAACTTTGCTAAATGATGAAATACTTGTTTTATTCTATACCTAAAATCATTTGATATTCTTGATTATATTATACAACATTTTCATTGATTTTCACATCCGATACTTGAATAGGTTTGGTTATCTTTGATAATTTTGTAAAACTTCTCTATTTTACTGTGCATTACTGCATGTAAAAACTACCTATAAATACTATTATACAGCTTCAGAAAATAATTTTGTCCAAAAGAAAATTGTATTCGCTGAGAAATCATCCTTTTTAATGAGTCAATGGGTTTCTTCCGTTGTTTTTTTCTCAAAATCTCATTTCTGTTTTTCAAATTTAATACAAATACTTAGTTTTTAATAGGATTATTCACTTATTCACGTATATCCGCAAGCAAAGTTCAATAACGTCGTTGATATTTATAAACGGAAACGCTAAAGCAAATAAAAAAGAACATTTTTACACGTTTCTATATTCGTCAAAAGTTATGTAGTTTACCTCTATTTTTTCACCATTAGACGTAAGAACATGCCTACTCATCTAATTGAACTTTGTGATAATCAACCATTATGCGCTATGAAAGATGCTCTCATATTTTTTGTTCAGTCCGATACTTCGACTAATTCATTTATTCCTCGTGTGGATAAAGAACAAACTGTGATAGATCGACACTTGTTTTTCCTCAAATATTTCGATCCATTCACTTGGACGTCAACATTTTGTGGCCATGTGGAAATTCGCAGAGAAGAATCGTTGAGGGTTATTGAACCAATAGCTCGCGAACGGGTTGGATTACCTTCTAATTGCAAATTAATGTTCTTCCAAGACGATGCGAAATCTTTGATATCTGAAATTACACAACTTGATATCCCAATATCTAAAATGTATAAACGCGACATTCAAGGACAAATTTTGTACTTCCAAGTTAGTTAACTTTATTGTTCAACCTTTTGCGTATACATACATGTCAGTACTCATTGTATAGTTTTCCGATTCTGTTAAAATGTATGAAGAAATAAATAACGAAACCTAGTTTTATTCCCTAGTAGCTAGCTCATGTGGTCTTGGTGTACTTTGTTGCAAATCTATTGTTCGTAGTTCCGCTGAATATCCAAACTTTTATGAACATTTGGAACGGTAATCTGTTTAAAGTTGTATATCCAGTCTTGGATTAGTTTAGAAAGAACCAAGAAACTAGATTTAAAATGTGTGCTTTATATGAGCAACGTTAACCAAGATCTCTGTGTTACAACATAATCTTACTCAGCTTTTTGTTTAATGCATTTAACACCAGATTCAACCTTACTTCCTGATTTGGTTTAGGCATCTAGGTAGTATTTTAAATTAGATTTAGTTCACTAACTTGTGAGTAGCTAATGAGTTTCAATTACATTATCTCATGGTATTGATGATAAACATTATTAATAAATTGTCACAACTGAGATTACATGACGTATTACGAAACTCAACTGTTAGTTACCACAATGTACTAAATAAAGTACTCATTAGTCAAATAATACCATGGCTCTCACACCAGAATGAAATTACATACCATTTGTCGAATATAGCGCTGTGTCAATTGATTGATTAATTGATAATCAGTCAGCTTTTCTTGTTAAAGCTACTTATTATGGCCAAGTACTGACGATAAATTTTTGTGAATCACACATCCTAAATATAAAGAATATGCACATTGAATCTAAAAAAACACATATTTGTATTGTTTCTATAAGTCAGACACAAAACTACTTATCCAACTTCAAAATGTACTTTCAGTGTGTAAAGTCTAACAAAGACGTCTTTTTCATGCATTTTCTGTGTACGTCACCGCATCAACTGAGTGCAGTGTTTTCCATTTATTCATTGACCCTGGGAATTCGTGACTCAAAAGTAATATTTTATAATTTACCGGAGTAACTGTATTTGTATCGATAATGAAACAAGGTTACATAGATTTTTGAATTCATTACACTCAGTGGGATGGACATATTATTTTTCAGAAACTTTCTAATTATCTTTTTTGTAGGCTAAATCAATGAATTGCTCAATCCCACTACCATTTGGATTGATGGAAACCACTGAGATGGGGAAAGAAGCGTTGAGCAGTTTGGTAGATGATGCGCATGTTTTGTCGTCTGTCGAAAGTCCTCTTCTTACTGACAACAGCCAGGTTATTGGTATGAATGGTATAGTCATCCCTTCAAATATCGTGGACGATAATGTTAGTGGTAACGCAGATGTTTGCAGAGATATTTCGGAGTCTTCTGTTGTCTCGTTATCGAATATTGATTCCATTACTTTGCATAAAATGGCTACTTTCCCAGCAGTAGCTGGCAATAAATCTCGATCTTGTATGAATCTGATGGGTCAACCGATTACGGCGGATTTACAAACGCAAACAATCTCATCTGCAGAAAAACTGACGATTTTTGATTACTTCAGCAGTTATATACGTCAGGTGTGCTTAATAGGTTTGGTGTTTAAGATTTTTACAAAAAATATTTTAGTTATAAGTAATTTACCAATAAGTAATCATCTAATCACATTTCGATGGTCATGTATTTTGTGCAAGTTGTCTAGAATTAAAATAGCAATCTGGTTGGTTGATTAGTTCGTAGTGCATGATTTAAAACTGCAACATTTCCTTCAGCATGCGAATCGTCACTGATTTCAAGAATTTTTGAGAAACTCAAACTCAGGTTTTAGCCGCTAATCTAACATCTCCAGTAAGACGTTTACTGTTCTACATCAACCATTATGATAATGGCTATTGTTTCATTGAATGTTTATATTCGAAGTCAGTCTTGAAATTTACCTGTTTGTGTTACATATAATAGGGAAACCTACCATGAATGTAGCGTAAAATCTTTTAGGTGATGTTAATTAGATGTTTCTATATGTTTTTTTGTGTTGATTTGAAATAATTTACTATTCATCAAAATAGGTTGTAGTAGACTAGTGTATTTAAAAAAGATGTTTCAGGGTTAAGTACATACTTTTGAGGTATTTAGATTCTCAGTTATTCCTAATCCCTGTACGATTGTAAATTCTGTGTTCTATAATGAAATTCTTAAGAAATTGATTCTCTAGTTCTTAATTATTTTAATGTCGAGTTTAAATTAATTTTGTATGCGAATCCATATGCATTCATACATATCATCATGAAATGTGCTAGTTTCCATCGTTTTAATTGGAAACTCACTTAAAATTATCATTGTACAATTCTAGCTGATTGATTTGAAGTCTTTAAAACACTTTTCTGAACGGACTGAAGGAAAGTAGCAAGCAGGGACGGATGTTTCGTTTTAGTCTAGATCCCAGTATTGCTCATCAACAACCTCTCCAGAAGCCCTCGACTGGAGCGTTGCAAGTTCTCAGCACTTTTTACTGTCCAGTGGTTTCGCAGCTGATGGCAGTCCGTGACAATGACTATCTTCAAATTTGACTTATCTTCCACAAACCCAATCAAGTTGAATTCGAAGTGTTGCGCAATCTATATACAGGGAATTATAGCATTACTTATTAGTTCGTAACTGTAACGCCTAAACTAGTAATCCAAGGCAATCCTTCGGCGAAGTACTCTTCATTTTCCTAACATTCTGTAACGATTACCAAATAAGTTCATATAAACGTAATGTCTATTATTACTGTGAGTATCCCTTTTTCTTGTAGTTCGAAATATTATTGGTGGATAAGCTTAGACCTCAGGACGCTGGGATTCTCATTCAGGTGTCAGCCGATCTTACGTATTGGGAATTCGCCAATGTTGCTGCAGCTTACCTATCAACGCAAAGTAACCGTCTTCAATTTTTCCGTTCACAACAAGGATTTGGCAATACGACGGATGCTGTTAATGCACCAATTTATGTCTCACCTGTCTCCACTGGGACTGGTGTCACTGGAAGTGAACTTGCATCTCCACCTATCAGTTCAGAAACTACAGAGAACACTTGTGGCAATAACAACGTTTGTTCTGTAGAGAGTGGGGCTTTAGGAGTTACAGGAACTCGTGGATCACCAATTCATCCTCATTTGTTAACAGCCAAATCATCTGGTAAGTTAGGAGAAACTACAGTACAATATAATAATTCTTATTTTTTAATGTGTCTCTATGGTTTATTCCGAATTTACCCATCATTTTCTGTAAATACAACACATTTCTACCACAGATATTTCTCATTGTTGCTCTTGTTTCATTCTATTCGTCCCACTTTTTTTACTTCGAGTTGCTGTCTTCGAAATGGGATAATGATTATTTGCTTGAAGTCACAATGTATATTATATTGGCTCCTGAAGCCTGGTAATTTTCAACATGACACGTTTACTTATTCAAACTGTGGAAAACATGGATTTGTACCTGGCCCTACGTTGTTTCTAATTGACATATTGTGTATTGTTCTATAAAATTCATAGTTTTGATTATTAGCATGCAATGGTTTCTTAGTGGTTAGGACGCCCGGCTTTCAGCTACTAATTACCATATTAGTAACCCACTATACCTACTTCGGTTTGAAAAACCATGTGATATCATTGGCCTTTACCCCTAGAATGTGTCTCATATTTAAGTTAAGTAAAGTACCTAGTGAATGAGCGAAATATGTGGGCAAAAATCAATTCACCAACATTATTTTGGATATCACAAATGATAACTTTTGATACACACTGCACACTTGGCTCTCACAACTTATACTGTAATTTATAGGAAGAATGTCCAGTTTTCAAGCTTATATTTACGGGATTGTTTGCTCTTTAGACAAATACCAACTTGGTTTCTAAGATGCCTTATCCAGACTAGTCGGTTTTTAAAACCAAGGTTTTCGAGATTTCATGCACTAGCCTTTCTGTGTTGTCAACTACACATGGTACTAGGTCATTAATTTACTGTTGCCGACTTGTGGTTCTCAATTTAGGGAGAAAAGCGGACACAGTGGTTTTGATCCTCATTCTCATGTTGTCTTGTTGATATTTAAAATGAATTGGAATTACATACAATGTATTATTAAATTTTGTTAAATATAAAAAAGTTTTCACCTGAGCAAATGAAGTTTTAGCGCTCAATAATTTTTCTCCAGCCGTCCGTGTACATTATATCTCACCCAACTGTACTATAGTAAGAGAACTGAACTCAATTTTCGCTTTATAGAATATGGATTTTCCTTCAGAAAAAATTTGGTATTGTTAGCTTCTCGTATTCCACTGTGTATGCAGGAAATTAGTTCATATATTAGCTTATGTATGTGTGTAAGTCGTACAGACAAACTTTCGAAATTCTGTCTTGGACTGTTTTAGTTACTAAAACAGTTTGAATAATTTAGTTAACGTTACACAAGTACTTCAGAGATTACAATGTGTAACGTGATCTATTGTTTTTCCTGTTTGTTTCAGGTTTCCCAACGTCGTCACCCTACTTAAATTCACTTGTGGCAGCAGCAGCCGCTCAGGGTTTGATGCGAGAACCTCCCGGTCCTGCAATCAGCTCTTCATATTCTGGTACATTGCAGGAATTTTTCCTTCCGTTTACTGTTGCGCACACGAATACTTCATGGGCTTCTGATGTTGGTGGTATCGGGCCAGGTTTAGTTAACAGCGGAAATACATTGTCAGGGACTGGTGGAAATACCCCCACTCCAGATCGCTTCCCAATACCGCTTAATCGTTTTTGTGGTGCTGTGACTGTTAGCCGTTCTCCTTTGGGTCCTGTTACTTCTTCCCCACCTCGTCGTGTGTACTACGCACATCTGGCTATTCGAATTGATGAACTTGAAACAATGCGTCAAGTTCGTGTGGTTTATGTTGGGCAAAAATTATCGGAAAAGGCAGAATTAATTCTCTCAGTACCCCAGAATGGTTTAGTTTTTGATCTTTTAAAAGAAGCTTCTCGTCATTTAGTCTTGCCTCCTGGTGGTTCTGGCCAACTGCGTTTACTCAAAATCTCTCGTAATCGAATTATACAAGAGTATCCTCCAACACAAAAACTTTCACTCATACCTGAATCTGCTGTGTTTCCCCAAACATATGCAGGGTCGTCTCCTATTCATAGTCTTCGGATTGAAGAAATTCCTCTTGACGAAATAAACTTGAAACCTGACGAAACTGTAGTGTACGTTTCTCATTTTGACAAAGCTTTCACAGAGACTTTCGGGGTGCCGTTTACTGTACGCATTCGAGATGGAGAAAATTACACTGCAGTGCGCGAGCGTATACGTAAACGACTAGAAGTACCTGAAAAGGAGTTTGACCGCTGGCGATTCGCTGTAATTTATCCAACTGAGGGTGCCTACATCCCAAATGAAGGGGATCCCACAGTGCAGATAAAAAGATTTACTCACTATTGTCTTCCCGAAAGTCGCCCATGGTTGGGAATTGATCATAAGCCATCTAAACGTCCTCGTTATGCTCCAAATGAAAAGCCTATCAAGATTCATAATTAAAAAAATTCATTCATTGATTTGTGCGTAATATATCTTCACTTCGTTTCTTGCGCGACTTAGTTTTGAAGATACTCTTTCCTTCAGTTATCTGCAGGCTAACTGTAAAACCAGTGACTTTTAACCAGCTTTTCATATTACCAGTTGTGAATGACTTTCAAAAGCTTCGTTAACATATTCATAGGTTCGATGGATTATCTTTTTCACCTTGTCAGTACTTTGAATAATTATCTAGTACACCGCAGTGCTTGTGTTTGTCACTTTCACTGTGACAATATTCATGTAATTTCTTAGCTTTGCTGTTTGTATTGTGCATATGAGACAAATGTGATGCTCTCAAATGCTCAAGATTCTTCGTACCTATTTTGAATTAAGTTGAGCTTGTCCACCGTCTGCAACACTAATTATGCCGTAAAGTGTTGTTGTCTAACTCTCAACCAAATTTATGAATTACTTCGAAGCATTTTAGATCAATTGTATTGAATAAAATTTATCTGCACAGAAAATCTGATATTATTTATTTGTACGTGTTTGCTTTATTTGTACTAATCATTTTCACACCATTCAGTTAGTTTTTGAGCTATATACGTTAAGTGTTTCTCGGTCAGTCAGTTCATAGCTCTGACTTATTATCCCCTAATTTCTCCCACTTATCTACATGTACTAATAGGCAATAGTTTGTTTTATTGTTGGTACATCTGGTTTGTCTACAGATGTATAGCATAAAAATCCTAGGTGTATCGTTTTATTAATACTAAAAGCTATTTGACTTCAGTATCTAATCTTCCTGGTAAAGTAAAATTGTTTGACTACAATACGTGACGTTGGTTCGCTTTGGTTGAAAATAGCATCATAAAAAAGTTGGAATTTTAATTGAAATCATTTAAGTGTTGAATTAATCGTTATTTTTATGACAGTTTCTATTTCACGATAAGTGGTCGGAAGGTTGTAGAGCATAAGCAAAATGATCTAATAATGTTTTACAGAAATCATAATTGTTGATTGAGCTGTTATTAGTTGAGCCTCTGGTATTTTATATCATTAAACTCGGAATAGATAGAATGTGACTGGCGACAGAATCCAGGGCTCGCGTCTGGTCCTATTTCAGTCCTCCTTGGCAATGCACATCCACGATCCCGCCTCGCGGGATTTGAACCCAGGACCTTCAGTCTCGCCCCCAAATGCACTAGTATGGTCGAGAGTGGGGTGGGCCCTCCCTCCCTCTCGAAATGCTCTCACACGGCCACAAGTATACAGCCTCTGCCAAGGAATTTCTACTCACTGCCTTCTCGTGGCGGGGGTGTTGTTTACGAAATTGAGAGGACGAAAAGCGAATGTCCGACGCTTTAACCGGATCCCAAACTAATAGTGCACATGGGCTCCAGTATCCTGAAGGGATAAATGGCGTATAAACCAATCGTTGGTCACCGACTACCATGCGGCTGCATCTCCTCACGATGCTCCACTGCCTTGTGGATCAGACCTTTAGGTTGAAGGCTCGAGATGTGGCCTCCTAAGAAAACCACCTTCTTCGGTTTGGGCATCCGGGCAGTATCACAGCCGACACACACACAAATATGGTGTGTCGCAATATATTTGGTGCCCTCCTGTACCAATATTTATGTGTTGAAATAAATAAATAATAAAACTATTTTGGTCTTGTCGGGTGGTTATACTTGGATTCCATAGTTGATATTCAATTCGGTACTCGAATTCAGTGCCGTTCGCTTCAAAAGTCATCTCATTACCCACATGGTGGTTATATAGGGCCAATCCGCATGGGAAACCGACCAAACCATGCTAATTTTGTGTCAAATTATCAACCAAGGGATTCAAATAATTTAAAGTCGATTTGTGGGTAGACAATTTATAAATCTGTTGCGGATTTGTATAGCTTTCTAAATCTTATTCATTGTCCGATATTGTAAATCGTGTTTCATAGATATTGAAGCTATCTAAATTAATCATTTACCAATCCCTAGAGTGATTGTTAGTGCTGTAGAAAGTTGATATGAACTGACTAGTTGTAATGTTTGTTCATGAAAATAATAATAGTTGGTTTGTACAATTCACTTTTGGTATCAGTGAAGCTATTACCAAACCACTCTCGGTTTTGGCTTACAATGTATCTCATTATTTACTGTGGTCGGTCTCCATTTGCTTTGGTGGTATATTATGTAACATCATAGGGCTGGTACACAAGTCCCACATTGGTCTTATTAGTTTAAGGATATACATGCATGTGCATATAGTTTCACGCAATAATATTTAAAAATTTATATTTAATAATTACCTATTGTTGTTTTCAGAAAGTGGGATTTGTGGAGATTATTGTAATTCTAATAGTTGAATTCATGAGTCTATCTAAGCTGGACCACCATTGAAAACCTGGAAGCACTTAGATCGACTCATGAATCCAGCTATTAAAATTATCGTTACTTGTTTAACATGTTCTGACTTGGTTATAAGTCTCTGAAAGTGCACATTACCGGATACTTTGGCTTCCGCTTTCCCCCTTGACTGCTTATGTCCCTACAAAATGATTCTTGTCGCAATCTTAGAAACGTATCTTTTAACCTTAACGCTGATAATTCTTTCGCTGTTTAGGTTAGACGAATAATATATACAACTACAAGCATTTTCAAACTGGATGAAATGTTATATTAGAATTTTAAAAAATCAACACAGGTTTAGATTGATCGTGAACAGTTGTGAGTGTCAAATTTGTGGTAAATATAATGATATATTTCCAGATACCATCTGATTGGGGGCGCTTGGAGATCGTTTTCTGGTGTGTATTTGTATTGGACCATTGTTTATGGTCATGTCATCTTTTCTATACTTCTCAGTTTGTTTTCCGATTCCTCGGTTTGTTATCTGATCCTGTACCATTTCTGTCTCACTATTTGCATTGGTTAGTGGTTTCAGTGTGTCGCATGTAGTCTGCTTTTTTTGAGTTCGGCGAAGTCGTTTTCGCTTTGAAAATTGTCTACATTTTGTAATAAGATGAAAAATCAGTTCTACCACTTCTATAACTGACATCATGTTAAGTCCAATCCAAATAGAGAATAAACCACCAGACTGAGATAAGAGACTTGTGAGAGAGAGGACTTCTTTTTCATCTACCTGGAAATGGAATATTATATATCGTTAAATTATTTACTAGTATTCAGTTTATCCTGCTGTCATTTAATAGCGTGCTTGCTCAAAGATTTGTCATTTAAGTAGCTAGTAATAGTTAGGGTAGAGTATGAGTGACGTGCTTTCGATGTGAATCGACATATTTGGTGAAATATATTAATTTCAGTTTTTCCTAAAATAGTTTATAACTAGCTCTGTTTCGAGGTACTTTAATCTCCTAGGGTCATCCTAATACATTTGAGGAAAATAAACTAAACAAATGACTGACATGGCTGCAGCAACGACAGCGGAAAAAGTTGCAAGTCTAGGGAACATGAAACAACTATATGACAACAAAGAAACTGGCAGGAAAATATAGTAAACCAGATCGACCAGTCATGGACAAAGAAGGCAAGCCAATCACAGATTCAAGAACAAAGGAACATGCTTAGAACACTTTGAGGAATTGTCAGATAGACCAGATTCACTGCGTCTATCATATATCGAAGCACCACCTACGGACCTTGCTATACATGTCACTCCACCAACGGCCGAAGAAATCAGGATGGCCATCAAGAGTGGGAAATCAGCAGGACCTGATAGTATACTAGCCGAAGCACCAAAGTCAGACATACAAGTAACTGCGATCGTGTTTCACACTATTCAGGAAGATTTAGGAGTATGAAGAAGTGAGGACGTACTGGAAAGAAGGACACTTCAACATGATATCAAAGAAACGTGATCAGGGCAAATGTGAGAACTACAGGGGCGTCACATTACTGACGTTACCAGGAAACGTTTTCAACAGAGCGTTGCTGAATCGGATGAAAGAAACAGTAGACACCCAATTCGGGTATCAACGAGCTTGATTCCATAGGGCTCGGTCGTGCACAGACTAAATCGCGACACTAAGGATCATCATTGAACATTTAGTTGGGTGGAATTTTTTCACTACACATCGACTTCCTTGACCACGAGTAAGCGTTTGACAGTGAGGATAGGAGAACATTATGGAGTACCTAATAAAATCGTCAACATCCAGGATTCATACGACGGACTACGCTGCAAAGTCGTGCATGGAGGACAGATGCATTCAAGGTGAGGACCAGAGTGAGACAAGTCGAATTACTCTCCCTTTTCTCTTTCTTCTGGTAGTTGACTGGATTGTGAAGACCTCGATATGTGAGGGAAAGCGCGAAATACAATGGATAGGTTTGATGCAGCTAAACGGTTCGAACTTCACACATGATCTGGCCCTTCTATTCCATACGCATCAACAAATGCAGGTGGAGACAACTAGTTTAGCAGCGGCCTCTACATCAGTAGGCCTCAGCATACACAAGGGAAAAAGCAAGATCCTCAAATACAACATTGAGAACACTAACACAATCACAATTGATGGAGAAACTCTGTAAGATGTGGAAACTCACGCACCTGGTCATCATCACCGTTGGACGAGGAGGATCTGATGCAAATGTGAAGGCACAGATCGGCAAAGCAAGGGCCTCATTCCTATGATTGAAGAACATACGAAACTCAAAACAACTGTCTAGCAATATCAAAGTGAGAACCTTCAATACGAACGTCAAGACAGTTCTAATGTACGGAGCTGAAACGTGGAGAACTACTACATCTATCTTCAAAAAGTAAAGGTGCAAGAGGAAATTAAGAGAAAAATGTTGAAAGTGTATAGAACGCACATTGAGGAAATAATCAAACTGCATCAAGCTCTAACTGTTATTGCTGAAGGGAAACGTAAAAATGGAAGACCAAATAACACACTGCGCCGAGAATTGGAAGCAGACATGAATAAGATGTATAGCAACTGGAAAGAATTCTCCAGTACAAAGTTGGATGAAGAATGCTGACGGATGGCTTGTGCTTCTCCACGAGGGTTGACAGATGTTAGTAAGTAAGTAATGTTTGCCCCCGCAAATTTATGACCGATTCGTTATGCTCGAATAAATCGTTTCAGCCGAGATCCGCAATAAACTGTTCGGTCTTGGTACTTCTGTTTAGTATTTCTGAGTTATTCTTGCATTAATTATTGTAGCATGTTAGATTTTCTGACACGTTCTTTTAACGAATCTAATTTTCATCAGAGACATACTCGTAGCTAAAGGCCTTGGATGTCTTGAGATCAAACTAGTTAACCAAAGTCACGTCCACGTGCGACGTTTTTGGAGATTGGTCTCAGATTGCATTAATAAATTATCTTATTTCTGCTAATAGATAACTTTTAACAAATTCAGCTGGGCGTATTCCATCTCAGGCATTCGAATGTATGTTAATCACTGAATTACATTTTAGATCTTAACAATTCAGATTCCTTTTTAATGAGAACTATCCTTGTACAATCGAATACTTTAAAATTAGTAGTTATGTAGTCATAAATCCTTTGTTTACTATCAGTTTCTTAATATCATCATCGGAAACACCATTACAATCCATGGCTTCATAATTTTTGACAGTTAAAATAGACTAAAATATCTTGATTCTGATTCGTGATATAAAGGCTCAGTCGGAATTCAGTGAGATAATATTGTAAAACTTCCCTGCGGTAACATGACCGTAACGTCAATCTTTCGCCTAAGTAATGGATCTGGTTAGAAGTGTTCTGTTCTTAACCACTAAGTCGCCAGTTTGAACTCTACTCCACTTTAGCTTCGACAATTAAATAATATCTCTAACCTACACACTTGGAGTGTGGATTGAAGCCGAGTGCGTGAATCTGTACTTGGTAAATGAGTATTCTTTGTCATACCTAGATCACATGAACTGTAATAAAGACTGCCTAATTAGTTGGTCAGTCTACTGTAATGTTAAGAATTATAAGTGATAAGCTGACAGCTTACCTTATGGACGTTAAAATTTGGTCGGATAAGCATGATTGCTAGTAAATTCCTTTCTAAAACGTTGCTTTTTGCAAGGAATTCTTGTGCTTCTTTCTCACCCTCAGATACATCTAACCTTTCTTTCGCCAACCGATATCCGACTAAATCGGGTCTGTTGGCCACCTTTTTTCCAGCTCTTGTTGATAGCCAACTTAACTGCCATGATTTCGTTGGCCAAGTCGATGTTGATCTGTCTGTTTCATAAGCGAAGAAAGCACATGGAAGTGTGCAAGATAGTACCACATCACCCTGTAAAGATATAATTATGAACATGTTACTTTTCTGTGCTACTAAAAATATATTCAAGCTATTCGAAGTTTTAGTCTCACAATACTCATTAATTTCGTGTATTCTAACTTTTGATTCCATAAGTTTTCTGTTCTATGAGTGTAATGAGGTACATAATACCTAGTTAACAACTATTCATATCCCTTTTTGAGCTAATTACTTTAATATAATGTATCAATATGTTATTAGATATGATAAAATGTTTTGACCAATTTACAAGTAATAATGTAATTAAACGAATTTAAAACTGTTCACACATACTGATAACTGCTTCTAATTCCTTAGTAATTATAGAAATACTTAAAGATTTTTTGATAGTTATAATGAATGAAAACTTAATGTAGCAATAATCCAGCCAAGAAATTCAATACTTCTTGTGTATTCAAAATGTCTTTAGCTATGAATTGTATAATCATGACAACTCCGAACACTTACATTTTAACTGCCATTTGTATTTTTTTCCACATCCATGTTGTAGTTTTCCGTCCTTACATTTATACGTTACCAAATATACTCCATGCACACATACCAATTTAGTTTTAAGCGTATAGTTTCAATTACAAATAATGTAGTTGATATGTTGATACCGTTTCTTACTATGGATGTCTTATTAGGAAATGTTTGGGTATTCTTTAGGTAGTTAGTACTAGTAAAATGATAATTAGAAGTTTGTTTTGTTTATTAGGCCCCCAAATGCCCTGGTATGGCCGAAAGTGGGGTGGGCCCTCCCTCCCTCTCGAAATGCTCTCACACGGCCACAAGTATACAGCCTCTGCCAAGGAATTTCTACTCACTGCCTTCTCGTGGCGGGGGTGTTGTTTACGAAATTGAGAGGACGAAAAGCGAATGTCCGACGCTTTAACCGGATCCCAAACTAATAGTGCACATGGGCTCCAGTATCCTGAAGGGATAAATGGCGTATAAACCAATCGTTGGTCACCGACTACCATGCGGCTGCATCTCCTCACGATGCTCCACTGCCTTGTGGATCAGACCTTTAGGTTGAAGGCTCGAGATGTGGCCTCCTAAGAAAACCACCTTCTTCGGTTTGGGCATCCGGGCAGTATCACAGCCGACACACACACAAATATGGTGTGTCGCAATATATTTGGTGCCCTCCTGTACCAATATTTATGTGTTCAAATAAATAAATAAATAAAATTTGTTTAGTAGAATAGTGTTTATCTAGTTTTTATATCATATACGTATATATATTAAAAATGTAAGCTGAACGTATGCATAAAATTTATATGTGATTTTCACAGACTTGCATAAAACAATATTTCTTTAGGGTTATTCTCAAATTGATCGTGTAGTTAATCATACTTATCTGATTGTTAAATCGGAACTATTTACCCAGATTAATTATATTAAGATCATCGTTGGTTGCGTTATTCAGAACTGGCGTTTGGTTTTCTTTGTTATTGATCAGTCGGATCTACCTGGATCTCATTGTTGATGTTCACATTGACACTCGATCCTGGTATCTGTCATCTCAATAGCCATCTCATTATTTACTGAGTTGTTGAGTTTAGATGATCTTTAAATTGTTTAACACTTACAGTGTTTATCTTTGGCTTATTAGCTAACTGTCCTGAATATCAGCATCACAAAAATGCAAATATAAAATTCCTTAGATATTTAGGTGAATATTCTATCACTCGAAGATAATATAAATACTCCTGTATTATATTATATGTCTAAATGGATACCTTAATAATCATCACATTTACCGTTATTGTATGAAAAATATTCAAAACGAAATCTAAAGTTAATACTTACCTGATAGTGTTTAGTGACCTCTGATTTACATAGTACACGATTTTTCACAGCTTCTAATTCAGATAAACATTCAAAATTAAATGGGATTTCATGTGTTTTTGCTTCTTGATTTTGATTAACCGAAAATAATTTGTCAGCTTTCAATAGAGTATGATTTTGATTAGAAGTAGTAGGAGAATTATTAATAGTGTAATTTCGTACGATTGGATGTTGAATATCACAATTTCCTATTTTAACAAATGAACTCATTTCAAGACAAAATGGTAGACTTTCATTTATGTATGGGAATTCTATAGCATTACATCCACACAGTGAATTGATTTTAGCCTGAAATAATCAAAGTAATTTTGGAAATGAAAGAAATGAGGTATCTTGGAATTTTATATTGACTATGATTTAACCGTGGTGTCTAAAGGACGAACTGATCTTAGCTAAACTACTAGTGAAACCCATGATGCATTGAACAGCTCTTTCGTCCTAGTATGGAACTTCTCAGCAGTGCTCATCCATAACTTTGCACGCGGGAATCGTTTCTTCGCGCGAGTGCTTAACCTCTCTACCATTGAGATGGCATCTGACGGTGATCAATTCGTGATCGTCCGTTGTCTTAGAGTGATAATTGTCTTACTGAACATGGCCCTGGTTTTGAGTCCCTGGGGTGGGGCCATAGATACGCATTACTGAGGAGTCCCGTGCTAGGACGAAATAACTGCCCAGTGCTTCATGGCTTTCAATGGTGGTCTAGCTAAGATTAGTTCGTGATTTAAAAGCTACTGAAATTCTGTAATCACCGAACCTTATAGTGGTTAATTCAGTTATGAATTTGGTTTTTATAAGAATGCATTTATCACTAAGCATTTTTTATGTAGTTTGTTACATAATCTGGAAGATGTCCTTTAATTATTCTTGATTGTTGATTACTTTAGCTGAAAACTATTCCAAGGGTTTTGATGTACTGAAAATTATCATGGTTGACTTCCAGCTTAAGGGAAATAAGAATTATATCCTTACAATAAGTGAAAATAATATCGATTAAAACAAATTTATTCAGATCTAAATAAGAAATATCGAAAAAAGATAAACATGATCAGTTTGCATTTCTATATTTATCCTTACAATACTTCTTTCGGTTAATATCTCTCACGTGTGAAAGATGTGTAGTTGGATGTGTTGAGTACACGTTACTCACTTGTTTGAATGATATAGATCACATAGGTTATTGACAAAGTTACATCTTGGATACAGTGACTCGTGTTATGCATTACGGATACTTGTATTAATTTTGTGATACGAATGTGAGTAACCTGAAATTGTTTAAGATGTGGTTTTACAAAACACTGTAGTCTTTAACAACTTACATATGAAGCTGTAGATATACTGGATAACAGAAATTAGTAGGTAATTAAGAGCAGTGTTTAATATGTCTCAAAATAGGTTGCTTTTGCAAGCATCTATTCACTTCTCAACATGTAGTTTTCAGTGATATTGAATATCGTCTAAAATAATGTAACTTATAAATAGCACCAGTGTTTGTGAGCAGATTTATAAGTAAATTCAGATTTATTATCAATGAAAACAGAGATTACTATCAGAATAAATAACAAACAAATGAATCTTAAGTTTTAAAACATTAAATAAATTTATATAATTATTGAAATGACAGATAGTGGCTAGAAATGGAATCCAGGACACGCGTTTCGTCCGATTTGGGACTTATCAGCCGGATGTACCTGTATCGCAGAGTTGATGTTTACTCCGGAACTCGAACCAGGTCCCGTTCGCTTTAGACGCCATGATGTTAGCTATTTAGCTAATAAGTCCTCATAGCCAGTCGCTTATACAATGGGGTGACATTTTAAATTCACTTGGTGTTGTTTGCTTGTGTCTTCCCATTGTTGTTTAGGACTGGAGTTGATCAGTCTCTTATTGGCATACGTGCATCCTGTGCGGATTGTCTAGATATTGTCTTAAGTCATAAGCTGATCATTTGCAGTCCTAAACAACAATGGGAAGATACAAACAAACAACACCAAGTGAATTTAATTATTGAAATGTTTTGTATTATTCATGATTATTTGTTTTAGTAGTATGGCTCAGTTTTAATGATAGAAGTAATGAACAGTTCACCTTGGCAAAAATAGTGTTTTATTAGTTTCGAATATTATACACTCTAATTTATTTGTTATGATTTCCGGAAAAAAAGAAGGATTATAATATCAGAAATAATGTATTATTAGGTTATTGTGATGTATTGGAATGTCTGTCAAGGTTTCAACCTTATAGTCAGGTTTTGATTTAATTGCAGTGGTTATAACCTTCAAAAGTCATATTTTTTAATCGATGTATAATCATATTCATGTTTACATTACTGTTGAAAAGAAAACTGTGTTCTTCCAATTCTTATCGTGTCTTTTTTATCTTTACATTTATCAGTAATTTAGTGTCGTAAGTAGTTATCATGAGTCTATATCGTATCACGCATTGACCGGCATTTTATTCATTCATGCGTTCAGAAAATTCCTTATTTATAACAGCGATAATAAGTTATACAGTTCTTCAGTTGTAAGGAACATTGAACCTAAGATAGATTTGCATTGGTTCCGGTATTTATATCACATCAACTTAGCTAATTAAAATTGTCGAGATAAATATCAGAGTTGTAGAAGTTGTAATTGGTATCAACAGTCATTTATAAGATTAAGTTTATACAATATGATTTGAGAAGACAGAATAAAAAGTATAAGTATTTTAAAACAGAGTGAACAGATCTGCGTGATAGACTACTAGATATATCGCCCAATTTCTCTGGCCATTGATTACAATATTCGTGCGAACTTCAACTAGGTAGTCCGTACCTACAGATGTAGCCCAGTCTAAACGTCAATGAATACTGAAACTGATGGGGCGCCTTGGGTTGACTATCCTTTGCTTTATTCTAACATACTTGCAGGTCGGGATCGTGGGTGAGCACTTCTGAGAAGTCCCATACTAGGACGAAACGGCCGTTCAGTGTTTCCAGGTGGTCTAGCTTCAAATGACTCATGATCTCAACTATAGAAATTACTATAATATTCACAAAAACCTCTCCTGATATTTTCTATAGTAAAAACGAATACGGAGACCGAGTCAGAATTAGGAAAATGTTAATCGATGGCAATCAGAATTGACTCAAAGTTCAAGTGCATTTTATCGGGGTTAATTTCTTAAGGATAGATAGGTATATATATAAATGAGTATTTGTGCATTTCATTTGGTAGTTCAATACACTTTCTCGCTCACTCTTGCGTTCTCACTCAAGTCGTCAGTTGGGGGAGGGTGCTAGCGAATAGCATACAATGTATCAGTACCATATTTCGGACACCGCGCGCCACTAAAAGAACGAAGAATATTCTTCCCACCAAGATAAATAAACAAATACATGCATGAAAATTAATGTATAAAGATTATGAAACAAGGAGATATTAGCTTTCATCAGTCTATTGAAGTTTGATTATTAAATGGGTTGTCATACACTACTGGACTATTTTCAGTGAATTAAAATATAATTTCTAAGCTGTACAATTGATACCTGACACAAAATATGGGCTATATGATTAACCTTTTAAATTGGTTAGTAAATATAAATTAATTTTACGAATACAAGCATTCTAGTTTTTAATTCAATTAATTTGGCAAGACTATAATTTATGAACGAACCAATCAGGAATACGATGATAGATCTTGGATTTTGGCGCGAAATTCACTCATTCATTTGGCAAAACACTATTTTGGCATTATATCTGACATCCGTTCGTGATGAAAACCTTACATCTTATTCCTAACCTTAACCATCAACTGTAAATCATAATTCTAATTCCTCATACTGGTATATAGCCTTCATTTGGTCCTAGTATTTATGTGAGCACTCTCAACATCACCATAGCATTGCTCAACAGTCATCTACCAATTGTTGTCTTACGAACGTTTCTTCTTATTTCATAATTAATTAAGCTTTTTCTTCGACAAACATTTGAACATATCCTGAGAAAGTCCAGACAAGTTTTCCGGACGAAACATTGTAATTATTTTCACATATAATAATTTGAGCATATAATACTTTTGATTCAAAATTTTCATTATTTTTGCTTATCTAACTAATTATAGAGTACAATTGTAGATTTAATTATACTTTCAACATATTCACAAATATTACGTAATATTATTTATTGTGTTTTTTTTCTTCTTTCAAATATTGTGCCATTTAAAGTTGTTTAAATGTAATTACAAATTACGTAAGAAAAACAAATGAATGGCGAGACTCTAGTTTATGGACGAGCCAATCAAAGGCGTTTTAGAGATTTCAAGGTTACGGCGCCAACTTCAGTGCTTAATGCTAAAGTACGATCTGTTCACAGAGAATTTTGTACAAAACGTGATAATGGAGTGGCTATAACAAATAAAACGGCGAGGCTATAATTTATGGACGAATTAATCAGGTATAAGATAATAGATCTCGGATTTTAACGCAAAAGACTTTCATCCATTTGGCTAAATAAATTTCTGGCATTATAGCTGATGTCAGTTCGTGATGAAAACCCCATATATAATTCCTAACTAAGGCAAATTACGACAATTATTGCGTACTGGATAATAAAAGCACTAGTGACAGTGGCTGCAGCCATGTACTACAATATATACGGATGTTTGGAGAGCGTACAGACTCATACATAGACTTGGTTATGTGCATCGTGTCGTTATCCACAAGTAGCACTTTGGCACTCAACAACCGGAGTGCACATAAACAATATTGAAGCTATGTGGTCGAGATTGAAAGAGTTTTTGAGACTTTATTATGACTCCAGAGGCTGACTATTCTGTAGACATATGGATGATTTCCTCTACTGCATGCATTATAATTTCAGAACCTCTGAACCTCTTTCTAACCTTGACAAGTTTTTGAACCACGTATAAGAAATGTATCAACTTTATTTTCTTGGTTTCATATAACATATTTTTACTCTATACTGACTGTTTGCTGATTGGCTAATAGTTCTCAAGGTCACTTAATATTTGTTCAAGGGTCGTCCATAAATTAGCGTCTCGCCCAAATGAATTTATTTAATTTGTTCAATTTTTAATGGTTTAGTTATTGTTTGGATGAGTTAAAAGTGTTTAAGGTAATAACAAAGTAAATTCTTAATTTATGCAAAAATTATAGAAAATAAAATAAAGTAACACTTTTTAAATAGTTAAGATCATGAGTGAATTGAAACTAGACCACTATGGAAAACCTGGGAGCACTGGATAGCCGTTTCGTCCTCTAATATTTATTGAATATACAAATATAT